CTTCTTCTTTATTGAAAGAAAGCTTGGGCTTAGTGAAAATTTAATGATACAGGTATCTGTTAAAATCGATTCGAACAGCGTCTTCTCAGTCGTCTTGGCGACGAGCCTGGTAAACAATGCGATACCTCTTCACGATGTTACTTAAGAACAGCGAATGCATATAATTTATTCATCGTCAACCTATTTATACACGGAAGAAAAAAACAATGGAATCTTAAACCTCGATTATTATCAGAACCGCAGTCGCCAAAACTCACAAGTTCATAAAATGAAACACTATGAAATATTGATATTGATGAGTCGTTGTTCATAATCTAAAAAGAAATAATAAATTCTGAACAGCTAATATAATTTAAACTTTACCCTGTTGGCATATCGTTGAAAGTTCAAAACCAATTATTGCAAGTTACGACGTTTTGATTTTATATTGAAATTTCAATCAACGTGCTGCCAACTATTGCCATTTGAGATGTTTACCCAGTTCTTCAAAAATAGCGACCATATTACAGCGATATAAGATTTACTTTCGTTTCTTGTAACAAACAATTATTATGATAGCATTGACTTACTTAATTATATGGACGTCGGGTCCGCGCTAAAAAGTATCCGAACTTATAGGGCGTTAAAATCGTATACAGAGCGTCATTCACGCTTTAGTCTTCGTTCGACTGACAGCAAAGCAAGCAAAATTAGACAGTACTGCGATGACATTACAATTTAAATTCAGCGTTTTAACTTTTTCATATTCCTTTACATGTCACTACGTTTAAATAGGTTGACTTGGGACATTTTTTTTTCGTGGATTTTGTATTAGCCCCGTCGTCTATTGATTTGTAAGTCAATGTATGATAAACAGAAAATTGAAAATTTATTAAAATTATATAAAAATAATTTTTGCACTCTAATGTAGCAAAATAAGGCAGTTTTCTACTATTTTCGAAGTTTATTGCACGAGATAATTGACACGACCGTAAGTTAAAGGCGCGTTCAAATTAGCCGCTGTTAGCCGCGCAGCCGCGCGGTGGCCGCCTGCATGCGCGCGACTATTGCGCTGCTGAAGAGCGACCAAATTTTTAGTGATTTTTTTTTTTTCGACTCCGTGAATTTTGACGAAGAAACATTACTTTTACCAAGTTCTTGGGGCACACACTTCACATATAGGTGTTAAAAACGTTGTCTGCTATATTTTTTTCCGTTGTAGTTTCAGTTGCAAAATTATCAACAAATTTAAGGCAAATTTTTCCATACCTTTCTTTTCCAGTCGCTTGGAATAACTGCTGTCCCATTTTGTAGGATGTTGTTTTACATTCTCTATAAATTCTTCAATTCGATTTTCATCCATCGTGATTAATTTGAAAAATTAACATGTAGGTACACCTCACTAACAGTGACTGCAACGATAGACGTGTCGCTTACTACCACAACTTGTTCATCTCACCAATTGGTATTATAAAAAACACATTATTTTTCGTGATTTCGTGTCACGATGTCACGAAGAAATTCGTCGTGTCTGCAATGAAAAGACGAGAATGGCCTTGTACACGACAAGATTTTTGTCGGATCTAGCCATGAAAATATTTCGTGTCTGTTGCAGACAAGAAAATAATGAGTATGTACACGATACGAAGGCTTTCGGGCAGACGTGTGTAGGATAAACGTGTTAATGCACTTCTAGGTAGCTGTCGTTTTACAACCGACTGTGTGAAGAAATATATTAACTATAATCATTAATAAAAAGATCGAACACTCAGAAAATATTGCTTCGATCCGGCCGGATTCGAACCGACGTCTTCTAGCATACCGTGCCAGAGGCTATACCAACAAAGCCACGGAACGAACCAGCGGACCTCACGAATTTCATTTTCTCCATGCCTCAAAAGTACGTCGTTTATCTTTATAAATCTCTAAGGTTTTGTCACATAATACGGGTCGTTCCTCTACTAAACTTATAAATAAATCATGCATTTTAATAGTAGCAATGAAATTAGTGGTGCAACAGTGGTACTTTGCAAAATCAGTCCACGCGCATAAACGTTCGTTTACTGACCATGCGCCCTATGCAATAGCGGCAGTCGCGTCGGGGGTAGACAAGATTTTTTTTCTTGTCCGGCGCCGGGCTGTGTACACAGTTCGTGTGTAGAAATGACACGAATTCTTGCATAGACCCGGCGACTTTTCTTAGAGTATACACGCGCCCTAAGGGTGCGTACAGAGTTAGCGAATGCGCCGCGAACGAGTTGCATGTGCGCTGTGCGCGCGTGCTGCATGCGTGCAATTAAATATTGTTAAATATATCATGTGGCGCGCGA